GACACGTATGGTTAACAACTAAGATTAAAAATAAATAAATAAATAAAAATAATAATAATAATAATAGTAAATAATAAAATAAATTAAAATAAAAGTAAATTGAAACCCCAGATATAACTCCAATTCTCAGCTACTACATTATGTAATATAACAGTCGTGTAGATGATGTTTTCTCTGTTTTTGCTCTTTCCTTACACAGGCACAGTGAAGTTTCAGCCATCTCTTTGGCCCTGGGACTCGGTGCGTAACAACCTGCGCAGTGCCCTGACGGAGATGTGTGTACTCTATGATGTGCTCAGTGTGGTGAAGGAGAAGAAGTACATGGCCTTAGACCCAGTGTCTCAGGATCCGGCAGCTGGCAAGGTAGACTGCTAAAGAGTATTACTATCACTACTACCATTAACATTAACCTTCTCTGGCAAAGAGTTTTCAGGGTTTACACACACACAGTTACTTCTATCCACTGTCCATTCATAAAAACATCACCTTGCCCTTGTGCAGACCCCCCAGGTGTTCCAGCTGATGAGTAAAAAGAAATCTTTGGCCACAGCAGCACAGCTCCTCGTGAAGGGAGCGGAGAAACTCAATAAGTCCGTAGCAGAGAACATGGAGAACAGGAGGCAGAGGGACTTCAACTCTGAGCTGCTGCGACTCCGCTCGCAGTGGAAACTACGCAAAGTGGGAGACAAGATCCTGGGAGACCTCAGCTACCGGAGTGCAGGTGAAAAGGCCTCTAATTTATACTCTCATCTGAAAGTAGTTGTCCTTTTGTGTTCTACAAGGTAACGCGAGGACACTTTTAAGTTGTAGTCTAACCCCAAGCTTACATGTTTTGACTATGTACCCATTCAGGTTCTCTTTTTCCTCATCATGGCACGTTTGAGGTGATCAAGAACACAGACATTGATCTGGACAAAAAGATCCCGGAGGACTACTGCCCCCTTGATGTCCAGATCCCCAGTGATTTGGAGGGATCTGCTTATATCAAGGTGAGAGGGGAAACAAAGCGTGGATCAACATGTCTCTCCACAATGGCACAATGAGCGGCAACAACACATGCAAGGGTGGAAAAAGATCAGTAGGACAACCTTGAATAAACAGTTATGTCGAGGCATCTGTGAATAATGGAGTTAGATATGCTTAAAGGCTTTTTATTTATTTAGTTTTACTGCTGTCTCCTGCTGTCTGTACGTTTCTGAAGCGTTCAGAAACAAGTAGTTATATTATATTAGTCTAGTTATAGTTGCGTACTGTTTATGTCTTCAGGTGTCCATCCAGAAACAAGCTCCAGACATCGGTGATCTGGGAACCGTCAACCTGTTCAGGAGACCGCCAAAAACCAAAGCTGGTATGGTTACACAAAGACTTGTTGCACCTCTTTTGACTTTTAAAATCATCTTTCATCTCTTCCCATTCCCCTCACCTGACCTCTCTTCATTCTTCCATCTCTTCTTTACCTTTTTGTATCCATCGTTTCCTCCCAGGCACCCAGGCGTGGCATGTGAAGCTTGAGGCGGCTCAGAACGTTTTGCTCTGTAAGGAGATCTTCGCCCAGCTGTCCAGAGAAGCTGTCCAGATTAAATCCCAGATCCCTCACATTGTTGTGAAGAATCAGATCATCTCGCAGCCCTTCCCAGGTCAGAATGCTCATGACAGTATCAAAGTGGGGAAACGTGTAATTGTGAGAGGATCTATATGTATTTAACACTGAAGTACACAGACCGTATGTCAATGTTTTGCTTTTTATGACGTTTATTTGATGAACGTAGAAAAGTGATGTATGACAAATTATTCCTACGTATTTTTTGATCCATCCAAAGTTTAGTTGCTTCCCTGGTAGATATAGTATTCCTAACATTTGCATTTGAGTTACTTTGATAAAAAGGGCAAACTTTGTTAACTAAGGAAACATTCCTGCTTTTTTATAATCTCTGTGGCTTTGGAATCGGCTTTGACAAACATACTCAGCCCTTTTTGTTCCTGTGGTTTCTCTGTTTAGGTCTGCAGCTCTCCATCTCACTGTGCCACTCCACGGGAGAGAAGAAGAACCATCGGGCGTCTCCAGAGAAACCCAAACCAGACGACCACCTTTACGTACTGGAACACAATCTACACCAAATGATGAGAGAGGTGAAACACTGTGAAGTCCATCTGAATCTTATCTGAAGCTATTGTCTATATTGGTATCAGAATATATGTCAGCTGATAAAAGACAAGAAATTTAAACTTTCTGATAAGTTTCACTTAAATCTATAACAAAGTTTTTCTTCATTTCAGTCTTTATTGTCCGACATTGAAAATGTGGCTTGACCTCCGGCTACACATTTGAACCGGGACAAATACTGCCCCAAATATATCTAGAAAACTACAATCAGTACCTCCACTTCATTCTAATTGTTTAATTTGATCAGTTCTCATTTCATTGAACAAACTTGTCTCTGTTACAGTTCCACAAGCAGCAGCTGAGCTCTGTGGTGATGCCACATCCTGCCAGCGCCCCCTTTGGACACAAACGCCAGCGCCTCGCCGGGCCCATGGCCTACGATAAAGCTGAAATCTCCAGCTTGCAGCATAACGAGGGTCTTTTGGAGAAGATCATCAAACAGGCCAAACACATCTTCCTACGTAGCAGGTAACTGTAGTTGTATGATTTTATTATAGGGCTGATATGATCACAGAACAATTGTATCACAACATTTTTACAGTGATAAATAACTATGAATTACCACTGGGAATATTGTGTAAATCCCGGTGGAAGTGTCAGGTTTATTACTATTACTATTACTATTACTATTCTCACTATTTGCAATGCCACATTTGGCCAAAAGGTGGCTTACTTTGTCTTTGTTAACACTTTTGTTAAAGCGATATTGAATATGTAATTCTGAGTGAAGCCCTGAACTCTGTATCATTTTATCAGTTTTAATGTTTGCATGTGTGATCACCAGGACGGCACGGACCATTGACAGCCTGGCCAGCCGCATAGAAGACCCCCAGATTCAGGCTCACTGGTCCAATATCAACGATGTGTACGAGTCCAGCGTCAAGGTGCTAATCACCTCTCAGGGCTACGAGCAGATCTGCAAGTAAGTCGAAGAATCAGAGCAGCAATATGGGAGATACAGGGGAGGACTGTGAATGTATTTATGAGTGGATATGAGTATCTTCAGGCCCTTTAATGACTTTCTACATGATTTAAATTCAAAGCAAATTAAATTGAATGTAATCAGAGGCATTTTTTGGAGTTTGTTTTATTTTCTCAGTTTTGCAGTTTTTCTTTATTCCCTTTATAAAAGTAGAAATAGCATTGTCAGAGTCTTACATGGCATAAAATCCCATGAGTCTGCTGCTTCTATGAGATGTATGTATATTTCCCTATTCTGTATTTCATTAGTAGCACATTGACACGTATGGCCCCTCTCAGATGAGGCTTACCGTGTTTTGTGTGTTTAGGTCCATTCAGCTGCAGCTGAACATCGGTGTCGAGCAAATCCGAGTGGTGCACAGAGATGGACGTGTTGTCACACTGTCACACCAGGAACAGGAACTGCAGGACTTCCTCCTCTCACAGGTATCCTTTCTTCACAGTTAACTTCCCACAGGTGGCGGAGGAGGCTGTATTTACTTGAAGCAACATGTATGAACTCACATGTTCCATATTGAGCTCAAAACAGTGTGGTGCAGATGATCTGATTAACTGTTGCCAGACACATCCAGTGCACATCCAGGCAAGACAAAAAATATATCACTGTAGTGCTCAAGGAAGAAAGGACTGCAGACTGTCACAGTACTCCATCGCATTAAATAAAATGTTTATATGACAACCTGGAAACACATCGTGAGCATTTGATGAAAAAAAAGGTGAACAAATTAGTTATCAATTAATCTTCAGACAGATTCTACTGAGGATTAAAAACGAATGTGAACAGGCAGAGTAAAAAAGTCTATAGGCTGTGTGTATGTACTGTGTATATACAACAACCATATCAATAATATTAATAATAGACCCAATCTCAACAAATTCAGAACGTCTTTGTTGCCAGATACTAGTTATACCCATGCTCTTTCTTTTGTGTCACTCCTCAAAGTCACGTGTATCCTTTTCCTCCTGTGTCCATGTTGTGTTATTACAGATGTCACAGCATCAAGTACATGCAGTTCAGCAGCTGGCCAAAGTGATGGGCTGGCATGTCCTAAGCTTCAGTAACCATGTAGGCCTGGGCCCAGTGGAGAGCATTGGAAATGCCTCCGCTGTCACTGTTGCCTCTCCCAATGGAGAATACGCCATCTCAGGTGAGTCGAATGAGGTTGGTTCTCAGGTGAAAATGCTCATCCAGCCCTTCTGTTTTTTATTTAAGTTCTGCTACAATTGTGTTGATGTAAAACTCCCAGAAAAAACACGATCATACATATTCTAAAGATCCAGGCAGGAAGTTTTCCTCTATCTCAAGTAATGTGTAAAATCAGTTACCTGTGGAGATTTATTGTTGAGTGTGGTGCATTTTTCTTGTCCACTAAAGTAATTGCCACATATCCAATGCACATAACCTGTCGCATTTTGAATTAATGGATCAACTTTCCCTTTTTCCCTGACTAAATGTAGCCACAGTGTTCTCACCCTCTTTGTAGTAACATGTGTAAGGCTGAATGCAGAGAGGCCACACCCAGCCTCTAGTGGTTGTGTGAGTGTGTTGAGAGACGTGGGGGAACAAGAGACAGGTTGATACAAGCTGATGGATCTTTGACAAAACAAATCACGATACCTCACCACCATAACTCCTGGAATGTGTCTGTGTGTATCTTTTTGTCTGCTCAGTGCGTAATGGTCCAGAGAGTGGGTGCAAAGTTTTGGTCCAGTTCCCACGCAGCCAGACCAAAGAGCTGCCGAAGAGCGACGTCATCCAGGAGGCCAAGTGGAGTCACCTCAGAGGGCCGTGCAAAGAGGTCCACTGGAGCAAGATGGAGGGACGAAACTTTGTGTACAAGATGGAGCTCCTCATGGCCGCACTGACTCCCTGTCCTTAGATCCAGCCTCTCGTACACAGAGCCATGGTTTATAGATAGTTACACTGCAGTGAACTGGACAACCAACCACTCCCACATAGGATCCACATTGTGTAGAGATTTTCAGCCACAGCATTTGTGTTTTAAAATCTTTAAGTGAAAGCAGCACATTACAGGCCTCTTTGTCAAAAACTTCATGTGCACTTCTTTTTTTTTTTACACACCTCATGAACTTTTTGAAAACTGCCGTAAACTCCTTTCCACCTCCGATAGTGTCTGCTGCCGGCTTTGTTTTTGACAATGCAAGGGGTGGGTTGTATATTACATATACCTCAAACAATTTGATACTGAATAAAAGCAGTCTATGTATTTGTGCTGATTTATAATGTCATAAGAATAAAGTTATGAATTACATGTTTTCTAACAACTTCTGGTTAACACTTTGATGTATTTTTATTTTGAGGAATGTGTTTCTGTAGTCTTGCTTTTTCCTTATCACAGTATTTGGGAAAAACTGACTTTCTTCTTGATTGATCAGTTTTAAGAAAGAACCATGGATGAGGTTTTAGTTATACCGTCCAACGGGTTGTCAGTCATATGGAGTACATTACACATAACTATGAAAATAAGTATGTATCTGTCGTCTTTGTTTAGTTTTTTTCTTTGCTTAAAACTCTGAAGACCTGACAAGTAGTCATATAATTGTCTATCATCATTGCATCTAAAAGTCTGATACAGACTATACCTGCTGTATTTTTTTAAACACCTGCTTCAAGTTTAGAAAATTAGTCTGTTAAGAAGCCATAAGTAAAGACACAATTCATTTGCTTAGACAATAAATACATGTATTGTTTTCCAGTGTCATAAGTGATATATTTACATTAAATGTGTCATCATGTGAGCTGTAAATGCATATGTATTCAATACAAAATGTAAACATAGGACAGATTGTCTCAGTACACAGTTTTTCAAAATTGACAAGCCATCTTCCTGGACTGAAACGAAAAATAAATGTATGTACACAACACCTACATTTTAAAAAGTAGTCCTTGTTGCAGCACTGACAGGTTTAGTGAGTAGTCTCAGGAGTGTTTTCATGCTGGGCACGAAGCACAGCCATCCAAAGACGTCCATCAAAGAGGCTGCAGCTCGGTTGCATCATTTTCTGCATAAAGGGGCAATTAAACTTTGTCAATACAGAAACTAACATTAACACAACATGCTGGTGTAACAGAGCTTTGCAGACCTTTGTACTCAAACACACCCATGCTCTGACACAATGCGTAACTTTAACCCACATTCCCGCCCATCAAGCCCTATTTATACATTTTACACAATGATACAGTAGTAAGAAAAAAAACCTGAATAAACTATGAACTCCGGGGCAAACAAACCTCACATACATCCATTTGAGAGGTATAATATCCATCCAGGCATAATCTAGAAAACCTTTACCACAAAGGTACCCTAATATTCACCTTGTGAGAGCTTAATCCCTAATGGAAAATCATGATGGGGTTTCATACAAATTAACCATTATTGATAAAACTGCGTGTATTGTTTTACCTGGCATCTGTTTCCTGCGTCTACATGCCACTATCTTCCTGTAGGCCTTGTTTAGTAGCCACATGGCCAGCATGAGAAGGCCAGCCAAACAGGCCAGTACTAAGGCAGAGACAGACAGGTACTGAAGATCCTCATACAGCACCTCTGGAGGACAGAGAGACAGAAGCACAATACATATTTACTTCTAAAAAAAACCTTGGCAACATGTTAGGAATGCAGCTTGTATGCAGAGGTGAGGTAGGGAAGCAGCATGTTTCAGTGTGGTAGGAAATAATAGCATTCTGATCCTTGTGTCAAGGTCACAAAGAACTAAATCTTAAGGGATATATAACCATTTAACTTATCATCCTTTTAACACTGAAATCCTTTATCGTGTTATAATGTTGATCAAAGGTCGATACAAATGTAGGTTGTTTACTGATGAATAACTATGATAAACTTAGTTCCTGCTTTAAGATATAAGAAGACACACACACAGTAGTCACCACCTTCAGATTGGAGAGATAGTCTATACATCATAAATGTGTCCATAAAATGTGGAAAATTGCCAGTTTAGTTTTTTACCTCAGGGGAGTTTCACTGTACCTGACCACACTCACACTGTGAGTGCCAAATACAACCACAGTCAGACCTGCTGGCCATTGACCAGCTCCACTGGAGCAGTTGAGGTTAAAGGCTCGCTCAAGGGCACCACAGTGGTGGTGGTCAGGTTGGGGGGGAAGCACTCCTTTTTCACTTTCCTGTCCAGGTTCATCCTGCTGATCCAGGGGATCAAACCAGAAGCCTGCTTCTAATATCCACAGACAAGCTTGGGGAACCTGGGCAGGGCAACTGTCATTCTTATACCCCAACCACAGTGCCGTTGAGCAGGTTCAGACTGCCTAAGTAGAGCTTAAGGCTGTGGCTCCATTTCATGCTTGAATTAGGACCATCAATGCTTAGCAAATCATGTCACCAGCTGTATTTTGTTCTACATCCTGTTAAAGAATTGCTCTTGCTTTTTCTAGTCTGATTTGCTGTTGCTTATACTAGACAGAAGGTATAAGATGAAAGTATAAAAGCAAGCTCTGCTAATTGTCTTAAACCTGTGACTAGGCCGTAAGTGCAAAAGAAAATGTGGTTGTCCTAAATGTAGAACTCTTATCTTATTTGCTTTAGAATGACACACACAGAAGCACAGACCCATTTACCGTTCACTTTCAGGACAAGGCCAGTGTCCTTGCTGCTTCCTGTAGTTTCTGTGACAGTGACGACATAGTATCCAGCGTCCTGCAGCCGCAGATCTGACAGGTACATAGAGCCATTGTTGTAGGCCTGCACTCTGCTGCTGTAATCCACTGTTATGTTGGTGTACACCCCCGGCTGCCAAGTCCCTATGGTGCGGCTCACCACTCCTGACATAAAGGTCCATTGTATGGTGGGGATCCCAATACAGGTAACATTCACTGAGAAAAACACGTCCTCCTGCACTGACCTGGTGAGGCTCCTCTGGGGAGAATGGACGGAGATGGCTCCAGCTGCCAAAGTGAAAAGAAGGAAGAGATGTGAAGATATAGATTATACATTCAATGGGAAATCTATTTTGGAGAAGAGAAAGATACAGTATTCAGTAGATAGTTGTTAAAGGTTGCCTCAGATGGCATTCAAATATTGCACACTATAAATAATTTCACCTTTCATACTTTTACAGTTCAACCTTCATTTAAGTAGGTCAGTAATTACAAGAGAAAGGCCTCAGTGTATGACACAGTACAGCTCCATAAAAAGAAAATGTTTTACCTCATACGTTTTGCATTTCATAACACAGTGACTCATTTGCATCCAATTCAGTGTACAGCCAGAAATGTGATATTCGGTGCTTGCTGGAGGTATGAAACTTGTCAAACAAGCTGAGAAGTACCAATTTGAATGTAGCCAGAAGTACTGTGACTTTTTTGGCCGCCCCTCATCAAATATTTTCTCAGGAGTTTCAGTGTTTGATCTAGTTCTGCTGGTGGTGTGTTTGCTTAATGAGGCACAGGTAAAGAATTCCAGCAAAGGATACCAATGCCTGTCCTTTGCTCTTTGAGCCTTATTACTTCATGGCCCATCACAGGTCTAATGTTTCTTTAAGAAAGTTTATTTGCTTCAATAATTTTAGCAATGAAGCTCGACGTGGTGTAGTTATTTTGTCCACCAGACTGTGCTTTTTTAATGCAATCAGTCAAAATGTATTCCTAATCCCTTTGGGTTAAAATGTTTCTCGTTGAAGTGGTGTTGCAGACCAGGACCATCCGATGTTTACATGTACACAACCATGTGTACACGACTTTCTTGATCTACTTAGCCCTGCTATGCAAGTTACTGTGAGCTCTCACTCCTGCCAGGCTCTCAGTTTAAGTTCCTATATTAGGGGTTGGACCCTCATCTTGTGTATTTAATCCTGAACAAATACAGGATTGCCATATAGGCATGCAGTCCAACGCAATAGACAAATACATGAGTTCTCTGCAGAACAATTATAAACGTGTTGGAATGCTTACCTAGGTGACACATATATAATGTGATGCTGAGAAACACAGCAACATCTTGAATATCCCAGAGCCTAAAATGCCACATTAGAATCCCAGACCCATTGGTCGAACCGCAGTAGAAGAATCTCCTCCGGGTTATTTCACATTCTGAAGTATTCTCCACTTTGTTGTCTTTCTCCTCCCAGAACAGCCTTCCCTGGTTCCCAGGGCTTCCTCCACCACGGTCCGATTCACAGGTCTATGTGTTTTCCTTCTTATTTCGGAGAGAAATCAGAGTCTGCCACAGAAGCGGCACAGTTTCCCTCCTCTCTCAAGACTGAGCTGCGCTGTGTTTCTCTTCATACCTGTGCAAGTCAGTGCCAGCCAGCACACACCTATCAGACAGGTTGAGCCAGAGATTACTGAGCAAACACGTACTCAGCGTTCTGTGATGTCACCCACACACACACCCACACCCACACCCACACCCACACCCACACACTCGAAGGAAGAAAGCTATAGAACAAACACATAGGCTATAGCCTTCTCAATGTACTCCCCCCTCCCCCCCCAACACTCACCTGTATACGCAGACGCACTATCACAAAATGAAACCAGGATAGGTTGAATCATCCGGCATTCATGCTCTGACACACCTGGAAAAACATGTCAGGCAGGAAGTGTGTATTCATACATATGCACCAAGAAACACAAACACACAGTGGACACGATTACAGTGAACTCACATTTCAGTTTAAGGATGTATTCGCTGTTTGATTCTGTGCTTGTGTGTTATGACTGGACTCGCCGTTGCAATATTTCTGATTTCTTTTTAAAATGACTTCAATCAATATCATCATATTCATATTAACATCTTAAAATTGTTTATATAGAATATATATATATGAAAAAACTGGGACATGTCGGTAGTAATCAAATAAATCAATCTTCTTCTGTGGCTTGTGAGTGAGGAAACAATAGAAAATAAGTCTTTTCCTTAAATGAAATATCATGTGACTGTGGTTGATTTAAAACCAAAACCACAAATACTGTTATTGTTGAATGTATTTAAAACATTATTATTTTTCTTAACCTTTACACATTACACAAACTTATATTTCTTTGCCAAATGTTGAACTTGGAAATAAAGATGTGTGCTGGCTATCTTCTGCTGTTACACATTTTAAGGTAATGATTTATAGTCTGAATTCTCCTAAAAAAAAGAAAGAAGAAAAGAAATGCAATTGATTTGGGCCAAAGAAGGCAAAATTGTTGGTTACACAAATGTTTTCACAGGTAGTAAATTGTCTTTTTTGTTTTGTTTGTGTAATTTCAAACTGACATCCATGTAGCTAAACCAGACAAATTATTGGGTTCATTCTTACATTCTTCCGAGGATGCAGTCCATGAATTTAGGCACAGCTTTAGTGTACTTAAATACAAAATAATATATTTTTTTAGCAGGGATAAACACCTAATTAACACCTAATTAACACCTAATTACCACATAATTAACACATAAGTAACACGGTGTGAAGATTTCTACAACTCATTGAGCTATTTCCTATAATTAAAATGTGTTTTACGAATTCACAAAACTCCATGAATGTGCTTAAATCAAGATACTATATTGACCCACCTTGCACCTGCTGAACCAGTTTGAACCATAGACTGTATTCAGCTGAGCCTCGAACCTCTCTAGACAGCTTCTTCACCAACTAAAAAAAGTTTAGTAAATGATAACACCTGGGCACTAGGTGTCCCTCTTTCTTTCTGGTTTTGTGTTGCAGGGGGTTTTGGAGGACCATCAGCTGCGTTAGCTACACCTGTGCCTGGTTTGCTCTTCTCTTAAATCCCTCCCTCACTGTGCAGTCCCCTTCTCTGGGGAGATCCCCTCTCCCACAGCTACAGCTTGTGGTTTATTTTTGTGCTTTGTATTGTTATATTCAAGGATTCAAGGTTATTTATAATGTGTATTTATTTGATATTTATTTATAATATAAATACAAATTGATTAATGAGTCATAAAAAAAAATAAAAAAAATAATCTGTATGATGAATTGTTGAGGAAGAATTCAAGTCGCGCAGCCCGAGGGAAGAAGCTGCCTTAAAGTCTGGTGGCACGGCAACCTCTTCCCAGATGGCAGCAGGGTGAACAGGCTGAGGCTGGGGTGGGTAATATCGTTTAGTATCTTCTGCACAGGCACCTCAACTCTTCAATATCACTGATGCTGGGTAGCTGAGTACCAATGATCTTCTATCATGCCTCTGTAAAAGTTAACAAGAGCCTGGCACGGGAAGTTTGCTCTCTAAAGTTTACTTAAGAATTACAGTCGTGTCTGTGGTTTTTTAACCAGGGTGGAGATGTGACATGACCATGACTGGTTCTCTGTAACGTTGATTCCCAGGAACCTAAGACTGTTCACCTGCATCAGCTCCACTAATGTAAACAGGGGTGTGCCTCTTTGCCTCTTTTTTCCTAAAATCAACAATCAGTTCCCTGGTTTTGCAAATGTTGAGCAGTAAGTTCATTTCTGTGCACCACTCTGCAAGTTCGTTGATTTCCTCCTGATATGAAGTATCATCGTTTTATTCATGTTTTTGTAAAATCCTTGGTTGTTTGTTGTTGTATTTCCCATCTGGTAACACTGGTGCAGACAGAACCTGCAGCCTTATGGAGCTCCTGAATTCTCTTGACACCTGTTTTCATGACAAACACAATTGTTTGTTGTGGGTGACTTCAACACCTCATTAGATAGAGGAAGTTATACTATGTTTCCACTCAAATTTAGTCTTGTAGATACTTACAAGGGCGTTTTTGTCATTTCATTTAGCTAATTTAATGGTCTGCCTCTGAAGGACAAGTGAGAGCAGCAGCAGAGTCTTGTTCAGTGAGTAGTAACACAAAGAAGTCAGAAATGAGAGGGGCAACAGAGAGTGATTGTTGGAACAGTGCAAAGACTAAGACAGTTCTGTGAGTTTTATTTTGTTTCTATTGAGTTAAACACAAAATGAAGTGATTATTTTTTTTAAAAAACAAAAATTCATCCACACCACTTTCAATTGTGCCACGACCATTGCATATGAGTGTATGAATGGGCCACACTGGAGGATTGCCATAGGCTGTACACTATTGCAAACCACTGGATTACTCTACACAGACAGCAATATTATAAAGTAACTTATTACTTTAAAATGAAAATAACTAGTAATATGTCATTTGTTACATTTTCAAAGTAATTTTACCAACACTGGAGGATTCAAGTTTCCTCTTCACCCTTGTGTAAGTTGCATATTGAACTGTTCGTGATGGACTCAACTTTAAACAGTCTCTAAAATGTGAGAAGGTATTTATAAGATTGTGAATTTTATTCCAAATAATCTTGTCGCCTTATTGTTATTAATAGTAATATTCAGATAAATGTATTCAAATACAAATCAGTAAATTAGTTATAGTAATATTATTTTTTATAATTGAATTCCAAATAATTAACTTGAGTAAATGGAGTGAAGCATTTAAGGGATTCAGAACATACTAAGATACTTTGAATCAAGACATCCATTTAAGTGTTTAATTTCAAACAGTCCTGAAAAGTGAGAAAGTATTATTAAACAAGTATTTAATTGTAATACGAAGTCAGACAGCATTCAGCAGGTGTGCTATGATCCCAAGCATACTATTATTTTATACAACTGGAAAACCATTTTGTTAGTCAAACAACAGGCTTGCCCTCTGGGGAAAGGGAGGAGCGTGATCAAGGTAACACACACCATTTACACTTCAGTGCTGTCCCTGACCTTTGCAATTCTACACCTGTGAAGCTGTGGCTCATCATAGCTGATGAGCTACGTGTGGGAAGCAAAAACAGTTTATCCTCATACATGATCAAGACTCGATTATTATCAACTAAACAAGATGGACAATGGACAGCAGCCTGACAGAGAGGAGCCAAACAAAGGCCAAGAGGAGGAGGGGAATAGTCTGGATTGGCTCCTTGGAAAAGACAGCCCAGAGATAATTCCTGCACCTATGGATACCAACGTCTCAATATCTAGGTAACCGGTCCTCCTAGGGAAGAACTGATGTTTGATTTCTCTCTCACAGGTTACGCACGTGGTCTTTAATTATTAAATGATACAGACTGACTGCTGGAGAAGTCAGCACAGAAATCAGTTTGGTTTTAAAGCTGCATATAGAGCATTTCAGCCTCTAGGAACTAAAGTATCAGGTGACATGGTGGCAGATTTCAGGTAAACAGGCTTCAGCTTGTTTGAAGAATTTACTTACCAGCTGGTCCGATTCCTTTTCCCAAGAGACTAATGAACAAATATTGTGTTAAGTAAGGCTACGTTCACACTGCAAGCCTTAGAGATCAACTCTGATTTACTGCTCAGATCAGATTTTATTGACTTTTTTTTGGGTTGTTAACATTATTTACTTTAATGTGGCACATATCAGATTCCAGTGTGAACAGCTCGCCATCCAGTATTGAACCTGCATGACAAATGTTAATCTACAGTGACATAAAAGTCACATGAATTCTGATGACTGTTCACACTGAGGTTGCATTGCAAAAAATCTGATGTGTATCTGATCTAGAGAACATTTAAAAGTGGCCCAGATCAATCGTATCAACGATTAGATTCCTTGTGATTTGTGCTGTTCACACTGTCACATATGAGCAAAAAACCATCAGATTTGGCTCACTTGTGCCTACAGTGTGAATGTGCCTAAAGTGTATTTTTGTATTACACTGTATTAAAATATTGCTTCTCATGTGATGCAGTGTTAATAATAATAACAATAATAATGTTGTTACAATTAATTTTTGCATAGTTGTAAGTCATGAGCACCCTAATTAATTGTTTTTCTACGTTTCAGACCATGTAATACCAGTGTTGACAACATTTACAGTAAAGCATTTACCAGGGAGAGAGTCTTTGAAGCAGCATCCCAGGGAGACACAACTCAACTTAACGGCCTGCTTGACTACCTGCGAGTTAATAATAAGCGACTTACGAGCCCAGAATTCACAGGCAAGTAGTAAGGAAGCAGTTTACAAGACTGTTTGTTGGTGGTTAAAAGAGTTTTTACTCTGTTTAGAGAAGGCGTTACTGAGGGCGAGTAGAAGAGAGAATCAATAGATGAGGCTAATTAAATTTCTCATGTGTAACACCTGCAATGGTTTGAAAGAAACAGTAAACACGAAGGAGCTAGAGGTGAATTCTGTTGCTAGGTCCATAAAACTCAATGTCTAAATTATTATTTTTGTGTGGTCAGACTATACAATTATTTCAATAGTGTTAAAAGAAATAAAACTATGTAATTTGTGCACAACTTTCAGATGAAACAAATGGGAAAACAGCCCTCATGAAAGCTTTACTGAACCTAAAAGATGGAAAAAATGACACTGTTGAAGTCCTCCTTCACATCGCTGAAAAAACTGGAGATTTAGAAAAATTCATCAACGCATCTTATGAAGATCCTTGTTTCAAAGGTAGGTGAAACTATGAGTAACTGTTCTTCTGAAGCCGAGGTACAGATAATGTTGTATAGGCAGTAAATGTCTTTGAGAAATACTTTATTGATCCCTCGGGGAAATGTGTTCATTACAGTTGTTCAACTCGCACAACATTAAAGAAATAGTACTTATATACAATATCTAACACAATATATAGAATAGAAATGATTGTATAGGTATATATAGAGAGCCTAAGAAAAATAATAAGATAATAAGAGCAAATATAAAGTAAATGTAAATCTAAACTTAAATGTAAACATATTCCACAGTATTGCTGACAGAAATAAATAGTAATGAGTTTTGAGATTGTGGTGTTGCAGAAGTTATAGATAATTACAAAGAATGACGTAATAATCAAGTGAATTGCACCTTAATCGACTCATTGCACATTAACAGCACCAGTTTAATGACTAATGAGTTTTGACAATCTGGGGGAGGAGTTAAAGTGTCTCTCATTGAATTCAGGAATGTGAAACTTAAGTGTTTAAACCATCTAGTATAGCATAGAGCAAAAAGTACAGAGCTGAGAGAACAAAAGTGAACACAGGGGAAAACAACTTAAAGAGAAGCAGCTGTATACATGATCTATAATGTCTGCTTGATCAAAGATACTCACACAGAGGGCGACAAGATACACCTCATATAAAATGTAGAATGCCAGATATAGAACCTGGTCATAAAGAGATGGTGTACATTTAAAATATATGTCTGTCAGAATCAAATTTGTCATTAGAGTTCAGTCACAAAATGCTTAAATTGATAAAGGACTGTATTATATATATATTTAACTTGTACATTAACAGTGTGCAGAAAACATTAACAGTTCCTGTAACAACCAAACACATCACAGGTCAGACGGCCTTGCACATCGCCATTGAGAGGAGAAGCTTTGACCATGTGAAACTGCTGGTCCAGAAAGGAGCAGATGTGCAAGCCAAAGCCAATGGGAAGTTCTTCCAGCATAATGCAGGACTGGGCTTTTATTTTGGTGGGTAATTACATTGTGGAAATACCCAAAAGCTACATGTTTCTTGTCCCATTTATCTTGCCACTAAATTCACCTTTGTGTGTTTCCAATAGGAGAGCTTCCTCTGTCACTGGCTGCCTGCACCAACCAGCCAAACATTGTGTCCTTCCTCATGGAGAACCCTTACAGAAGAGCTGACCTGACTGACAAAGACTCAGTTCAAGGGAACACTGTCTTCCACTCCTTGGTGGTTTTAGCAGACAATAAGACAGAAAATACAGATATGATTGCAAAGATGTATGACAACATCCTCATTCAGGACAACAAGCTGGAGAAAAAAAGAAAAGTCCAGTTGGAAGAAATTGAAAACAATCAGGGGTTGACTCCTCTGAAGTTAGCAGCCAAGCTGGGCAAAATTGGGGTAGGTCTATTTTCTTTTTATGGTCTTTGTGTGTGTTTTCAGATACAGCTTGATGTTTCAGTTTCTTTCTCTAATGTGTAACAGGGACATGATCTGTCAAAACACATTAAAGGTCCAGTGTGTAACATTTAGGAGGATATATTGACAGAAATAGAATATAACATTTAAAGGTTTATTATTAGTCTAAATAAAAATGTTGTGTTGTTGTTGCCTTAGAATGACCTGTTTTAATCTACAGAGGGAGTGGTTCCTCTATTACAGAGGCCACCTTGTTGAACCACTGTGTTTCTACAGTAGCTTTGAATGGACAAACCAAACACTGGCTCTAGATAGGGCCTTTCATGTTTTTTGTGTTTCGTGCCCACCATAGTTTCTCCTGGGAAGGCAACCAGTGTGACTACTTGACCATAGAAAAACTGCCATTTGTGTGTAAGGCACGAGAGGATTCATTGTCACACAATATAACTATCTCCTTTCTGATCTCTCATTGGCCAGCTGTTCAAGCACATGTTGCACCGGGAATTTGTGGAGGAGGAGATGAGGCCGCTGTCCAGGAAGTTCACAGAATGGGTCTACGGACCTGTTCACTCCTCACTTTATGACATGAGCTCCATTGACACCAATGAAGAAAACTCTGTGCTGGAGATAGTCGTCTTCGGGAGTGAAATTCCGGTTAGAAAAATCTATTTTGACCTAATTTCCCCTGTGGTTTTTGGATAAAGTAGAGTATTAAATAATGTATGCATGGTAGCAGGGCACCCTTTTAAACAAAGAAGGGAATAGTCATGGGTGTGTTCATATTTAGAGTACAATCAAGAACAGTATGTATAGCATTGGACACAACATCCTGCTGCCTCAGATAACGTCATACAAGATTAAGTCAACAAAGATTATATATGATTCTAATTTCATTGAAATTATGATATATTAATGATAATGAAGGAATTATGTCATGCAGAGTGAATCAGACACTACATAAACTGGGATAGCAGCAGCACTAAAAAAAACACTGAAACATCTGTCAATAATCTGGCAGCAGGTTACTATTTAATTTCTTAGACTGATGTGTTTTGACAAAGAAGCTTTCATTGCCTTCACATAATAGGTCTTTGAAGAGCTGCCAGTTTAAATGAAAGGAAATGTTTTAATTAACCTGTGAACACACAGAACCGTCCTGAGATGCTCCAGATCGAGCCTCTACGCAGTCTTCTCAAGGATAAGTGGGACAGGTTTGCCTCCAAATTTTTCCTGATGAATTTCTTGGCTTACCTGATATACCTGATCACCTTCACCATGGTGGCCTCCTATAGAAAGGAAGGACAGGTAAGGTGACAAAAACATCCTATAAATTAGGAAACTAACTAAACTATGTTTTAATAACAGCCTTTTTCATCCACAGCCACCGTTTACCATCGATGTCCCACTCGACTACCTCCGTTGCTTTGGTGAGGTCCTCAGTGTCCTTGGAGCAGTGTGCTTTCTCTATAAAGCGGTGAGAAAGTGGAATCTGGATTATACAAAAAGAGTCTAAATCAATTTTAAACTAAATCCACATGTAACTCCTAAATCCACAGATCATTATTTTCAAGAGGAACCCCCCAAATTTCAAGGCTCTGTACACTGAGGGATTCAGTGACATTCTCTTGTACGTATTACCAGAAGATCTTTTTATTCCCAAACTCCTGTGAGGATACCTTTTTAATGTCATTGCTTTTTTACCATTTCACTTTGTTAGCTTCCTGCAGGCAACACTCCTTCTGATCTGCACCGTTTTGTACGGCTGTGGGCGTAGAGAATACGTTGGACTCCTCGTGCTCTCGCTGGCTCTTGCCTGGATCAATGTGCTCCACTACTCGAGAGGCTCTAAACAAATGGGGATGTACAGTGTCATGATGCAAAGAGTAAGAATTAAGTAATCATCAATTCAGTAATCAAAAATCTCAGAAAGGGTTTTCCTGGAATAAAGTCTCTTTCTCTTTTTAGATGATCCTGGGTGACCTATTGCACTTTTTATGCGTCTATGGTGTCTTGCTTTTTGGATTTTCTGCTGGTAAGACTTTAATGCAACAAACATTATACAGAATAAAGACGTGAGATGCTTACCAAGATAAAGACTTCTGACTTTAATTTTCTCCTTATCCATAGCTATTGTTGCTCTCATAGACGACTTCCCTCCAGCACATAAGAAACTGGCCAATGGCACTCGGGCAAGTGGAAGGAGTTTTGGTCTTGAGCCGTTTATGTGCGAGAAGCCGAGTTACAATGACTTTCGTTTTACAACACTGGAATTGTTTAAGTTCACTATTGGAATGGGAGATCTAGAGTTCACAGACCATGTTCAGTACAAGGAGGTTTTCTACATCCTGCTCATCTTGTACATAGTTCTCACTTACATCCTGCTGCTCAACATGCTCATCGCCATAATGGGCAACACAGTCGAAAGGATCTCCAAAGAAAGTGAAAACATCTGGAACCTGCAGGTGAGGAGCTGGTCTGTAAACACAAAACCTAATGTTCGCAAGATTTAGGTCGATGTCTGGATGTTAGCAGATCCAGCGAGTAAATATCTCAAATATATAAGAAAAGCATTAGAATATATAAGTGTTTCTATATTGTGTGCAAAAAAGCTTCGGACACACTATTTTGTTGCACATCCTCAGAGGGCTTTTACAATTTTGGACATGGAGAGGACTCTGCCGAAGTGTGTGACGGATAAATTGTACTCCGGAGTGTCAAAGATGGTTTGTCTTGGATGCAAGCAGGACGAGAGTCGTAGATTTTTCAGGTAAAACAATCACTGAACATTTATTTTGGAAACTTCTTGGATTGTTAAGCTTGGTGCAAACTTGTCAGGTAAAGTATTTCTGTTAGGCCTATATCCTTTGTTGATAAAAATATGTGCCGGTATGATTGTGTGATCCAGCAACCCAGAGGCAAGGTTATTATTATAGTTTTGTATTTTTTGTTTTAAATTCAGTTTACTTTCCAAAGTGGGTTTGCTCATTTTATTTTTAGTTTAGTTTTTTTTTATTATAATATGAGGGTATTTGTTAGGGGCAAGATTTAATAAGTTCAGAATTGCTTTAAGCACTTAAACAAGTATTGTGGTGTCAAGAGAATCCAGTGAATACCACTCTGGGTAATTGGGGGAAATGTTTTTTATTATTATGGTGAACTGACCCTTAAATCCTCTAACACATCAGTTTGTGAAGATAAAGTCATGTCAAGCATTTCTAGTGGTCCTTGTGATCAGGCAGTCTTCTTCAACTTTAGGGTGGAGGAAATGAATTGGAACAAATGGAGGTCAGATCTTTGCGTTATCCATGAGGAAGACCCTGGGCATCGTATGATGGAGCCACAGTCCAACGACCAGACTCCGGGTAGAGCATCAGAGCACATACACACAACTTGTTCTTGCTGTTTCTTGCTGCTAAAAGTCACTAATATGAGATGTCATTTGATCTTTCAGGGAATCTGTGGAGCCTCAATCCACTCTTGGAGCGGATTCGTGGCAGACGTCCCCAACGACAGCTTTCTGGTGATCCCTAGGTTAAAAGTTTCAAGTTTAATTTTTGTTAATTTTTTTATATTCTACAAACTTCTTAAAAAAAAAACAATAATCCGTACTGTACATGATCAGCGACTGAACGTAATTATACTTTATTTTACACCAATTCCCTTGTTTTCAACGTACCTACTATTTGTAAATATGTTATATATTTAATGTTTGTAAATTTGTATCTACTGTTTCTTATGTCTTGTATTTTCTATTTTTATTTAATGTGTATTTTACCTGTTGTGTTGTATCTGGAGCTGCTGTAGCAAATGAATTTCCCCAGTGTGGGATCAATAAAGTTATCTTAGACAGGTCGTACCTGTGGTGATTAATTTAACTGAAATATAATGTATACTATAAATTAACTTTGATATGCACTTGGAACATCTTGACCATGTTTTATATGTACATAAAGGAAGTCACTCATAAAAGCTTTGTGTTTGCAAACTTTATTTTGGTTAGGGGGAATGTTTGTGCAAGACATTTTATTCCTGAAGGTTAGGCAAAACTGGAATATCACATTTTCACAAAGTAGAGAAAGTAAGCCCCCCTCACCACCGTTCACAACATGACAGGTCTCTGATAATCAAAGACAATCATATTAATTGGAGTAAAAATAAATCTAGAGAGAGTTGTTACATGCCTGTGTCCCAATAAATATTGCCATCAACTGACAAGGTGAGCTACAATGTGCTTACGTAGATAAGATTCTTACAGTGCATATTGACATGTACTGTTTCTGCATGATAATAATTCTGTGAAGTGGAAAAGCAAAACATACAAAGTTCTGGTTAGAACATCCAAATTTTGCTCGACAGAAAAGTATTGGGGCGTACTGTGCAGACAGGAACAACTCACTCTAGATTTCTTTTAATACTCTATTCACATCTTTACACTTTTACTTCACAAGATTTTCTTAAACCGTCCAAATGAGGGCAGCAGCTCTCCTTTATGTCACCAGGTTGTTGCTTATTACTGTCAGAACATAAACACGTTCCCAATACAAGCTTGCCAAGGCTTTTGGCTGGGGTGGTTACAGAGAGGGACGCTTGGTCACTTTGGTCAGTGAGTCAGCAGCAAACAGTTCACACATCCCGACAGTGTCTAGGAATCGTGGCACACTTCAGGACTTAAGTCCATGACACAGTATCAGTAGTTACACTAAGTAGCTTGGTCCCCCATCAGAGATTAACTTCGTGCACCTTTGTCAGCGTGCACACCTGTGTGCAAGTACCCAAGCTTTAACATACACACACACATACACACACGCTCCCATTCACACATTTCTCCATACTAAGCCCAGTGGAGGCACTTCATATGAAACTGTAGAACCTGACTATGTTGGGCTGTAATGAGGCAGTTCAAAATAAACAGGGCAGGTCTGTTATTTATTTAGTGTTGATTTAAAGTTAGGAGACCCAAACAGGCCTGGATAGTGTCTGTCTTTAGGCCGCAATGGGTCCGACTCCTGAAGATCACCACTTTGAATACTGGTCAGCCATTATATATTTAGAGTAATGTCCAAATATGGCTGGTAGAGTAGACAATACCAAAATTTACCAGCATTGTAGTGGTGGCAATCTTAACCCTACGCCCATCCCATAAATAGGAACCTATTTTCACTGATACAGCCCATACATCACTACTATTCATACACACGCACACACAAATCATACTAGTGTGTGTTAAGATTAAAGTCAAATAGCAGCTTTAAGGGGCAGGCACGTCAAAAATGAGAGCCAGAAAATAAAAACTGCCATCAAGTATGAAGACCAAAATCCAGAAAAGCTACGGCTTGCATCTAAGCTGTCTTTCTATGAAGATGACTTATCATCTCGCCATTCCTTCTCCCTTTTGACATGTACTGTATTCTGAGCACGATTCAGAGAAGAAAAACTGCTCAGCGCTGTGAAAGACATCAGATTAAAGCATGGATGCAAACCTCTTATTTGCCTCTGAGTGCAGACAATTCAGTTTACACTGTCTACGTCAATATGTGTCACCTATGGCACCTAATGTGAAAACACCTATGGCTTCAGGATGCAGTGGTCCAAAAAATAAATTAAGAAAACTATATAAGGATATTTATTAAGTATACCAACTAAAACACAGTCCAAATACTTTAAAATAACTGCTACAGCCCTGTTCTACATACCTATTAATTCTGCTAAATACTATTCATATTTTACTCTTAAAATCATCTTAAATCCTTGATAGGCAACATTTGAGACAGTGGGATAGATTTATCAACAGGTATGAGTAGCATTATTACCTTAACATTTCAATTTAAGGCAACATTACCCATTCACACTCCCTATACACATTAACACTGCCCAATGATCCGACAGTACAGTTTAAACATATTTAAAATGAACCAAAGAAAAATAACTTACTCTTTCTCACAATGAAGCCATACTTAAGTTGGGATCTCGGCAAAGAAAGTCAGTTAAGGTTAAGTATTAAGTAGAGGATAACTACTGAGACATTTAAGGCTTTTTCCAGAAGGCTTGAGGCCAGCAGAGCAATATATGCCCACACAACATCAACCCGAAAAAGGACTAGAGGAGGAAATGGGTCCAGAGCTTCATGCTAGACACCTAGCAAAACATAACCTGCAATAAATGTTCTTACTTTTTTCTTTATAGGTAGCAGAAATACAACACAGGGTGAGGCCAGTGATCAGCAGATGAACAGCCCACCACACAGATAAAGTCCACACCACATCAGTTCACTTGTATTACAGTAGTAAAGTGGTGAGGAAATGTGTTGGGAGGGGAAATGAAGCATTTTCCCTGCTTGCATTATTTGAAGTACTTGCACGCTTGCAAGTGATCAATTTGCTTTTCACATATTGACATACATACGCCATTTTAATATTAATGGGATGCCATTCTCTTTCACATTAGCTATAGACAAATGGGGGCTAATGGAGTAGTTGCTCCTGCCAAATGTTAAGCATAACATTTCAAAAGTCATTTTCTATAGTTCAAGTAGGATCATCTACAGAGAAACAAAAACTGTAATAATAGAACAACTACCTTAAAAGCAATTCTTGAAATTCTACACACGAGGGCACTTTAGACTTTCCAAACATAATAAAAACTACTGGTAACTTGAGAAACTAAATAAATCTCAGGAATGGAGAATGTTACTGTTTTTGCTAGTGCTGGCTTTGTCTTATTTTCCAACTAAAATTCTGCTGAACAGTGATAGTTAGCCGTTTTGCACACTGCGATGGAACGACGCAGAAACTACCTGGACCACTCGTGGTGCAGTTCAGAAGCCATTTTGTATTCCTGATAGAGAAGCTGTTAACAAGTGTACACTTCAACTATGGGCAGGAGCTCCTGGGACAAAAACCTTATCAACAGTCTTATTAATTGCATATACATGTAACCTTCGTATTTAAATGGATCACAAACCAGTTAAGAGGATAAATAATTGCAAATAAAAACATTACACAAGGACATCCTAAATCTTGCCTTTGGGCAGTTGTAAGGCCACAAATGCTGAAAAAAGTTGAGTTGTTCCATGTCAACCTAAGAAAAGCACTGTGACAATCATATGGCAAGCATATTCTCAGCTGCAAATTAATATTTTAAACACCATATATACATGAATAAAGAGCAGCACATCCATGCCAGTGACGAAAAGAGGAATTCTACTCAACAGTGGACAACAATCTCAAAAACCCTTCATCTGCAACAAAGGTACGACATGGCTTAAGACCTGAGGAATACTTTGAAACGTCACAACCTGGTGGGTCTACAAATCAAGCTCTGAAGCAATAAAATGTAATTGATCACTTGCAAGATCTTAAAGAAGAAACCACAGAAGCTGAAAGTAGCTGTTGAGAAAAACTCAAAAACACACCAAGGGGGGATAAACGGTTTAACGGTAGCCAGGGTGGTGAGTGTGGACACCTCCGGCATTGTTGGGCTCCTGAACTTGACCCATGGCTGACCTGTGCATCTTCTCCATCACATCCATGTTCTGCTCCTGAAAGCTGGGCATCTGAAAGTCCCCTCCTAAGAAATCCACATTCTGCATCAACTTGGACGGGCCGGAAGGACCCTCTTTCCCTGGTCGGTACTTTGCTCCTGGGATGCGGTCTGAGGACGCACCAGCCTGCCCCCCCTGGAAAGCCACTGGGAGGTCCTGAGGGCCGGATCCATTGTTACCTGCTGGGATGCTGCCCCATGGTGGCTGCATGTAGTGGCCATTAATGTAAGGCATAGAACCTACTGGGCAGTTAACAGGGGATGACGGTCGTGGTTTGTCTGCAGGGTGTTTTAGAGGAAAGGACTGTGCAGTGTTGGGTAACTTGTGGGAGTAATTGAGGTTCCGAGAGGGGAAAGCACACTCCGTTGGAGGCTCCATCCTTGGGTTCTTGCAGGGATGGGCCCCCTCAGGAGGCTGCTGCATGTGGGCCATTTGATGCTGGGCCCAGGAGCGCTGCTGCTGCAGCTGCTGTAGCTGTTGTAAATGTTGCTGCTGTAAATGTTGCTGCTGCTGCTGCTGCTGTTTCTGCTGATGTAAATGGTGCTGAAGCTGCTGCTGCTGCTGCTGCAGGTGTACCTTCTCTGGGTCTGTGTGAAAGGCAGGTATACTATTAGTAGCAGCTATGTTGGGCTGTGAATGGAGAGCAGCATTGGGAGTCTGAGCTGTAGCTTTGTCTGGGGGTCCCACCATGAGGCAGCTAGGCACAGAGCCAAGAGCCGGGTGGTGAGAAGACACCCTAGAGCTGGCGTTGATCAGCAGGTTGCGGCTGATGGGGCTGGGGTTTGCAATCTGGCCCTCACAGACTGAGGTTGTGCCCATGCCAGCCCGTGCCTGGCACAACTGGTTGATTTGGTGCACAATGCTGCTCAAGTCACCAGGCCGGTTCTGATGCAGACTGGCTGCCATGGACAGTGGGATGGTGGAGGTAGATACAGTTACATTTGGTGGGGCGTCTGCGTCAGGGAGCTTCCGGGGCCCATATGCCCCCGGCGGGGGCTGCTGCTGGAGACTATTGGGCATGGTGGGAGGTCCTGCACCCACAGCCTGGGGCAGGGGCTGTGAACCAACTAGCCCCTGGCTGTGCTGCAGGCTTGGAAGCTGAGCTCCATCAGACATGTGGCGCAGATCCTGAGTCACTCCTTGCTGTGTAAGTAAAGCTTGTGGAGGAGCCGTCTGATGCTTTAGTGTCTGCAGATGAGAAAGATGCTGCTGCGGTACGACTGGTGGACAAGACTGGCTCTGCTGTTGCTGTAGAGCCTGGGTGTGAGGCAGACTCTGCTGCCTCTGTATGCCTTGTGGGTGAGCCAATCTTTGCTGCTGTGAAGTCTGAACCTGGGACAAACTCTGCTGCCGTTGCAGAGCTTGTGAATGAGCCACGCTCCTTTGCTGTAAAGCCTGTGGGTGAGGCATAGTTTGAGGCTGCTGTAAAGTCATTGGGTGAGTCATGCTTTGCTGTCGCTGTAGCGCCTGTGGGTGAACCATGCCCTGCTTCTGAGCAGCAGCCTGGGCCACAGGCTGAGATGGGCCCTGGAGGTGAGGAGCAGGTTGAGGAAGATTTAAAGTGCTTTGAGTGGCGTACGGCCCACTGTGAGGGTTCATGATGGCCTTCTGAAGTTGCCGGGCGCGGCTACCGTCTGACTCTTTGATGACGCCTTTGGCAGGCGCACGGAGGACAGCCAGCAGGCCCCTACTGGAACTGACCTGAGAGGGGTAGGGACTGTGGCGCTGGCTGGACGACGATGTGTCAAGCCCGTTGACAGTGCGACGAATGTGCTTCCTTTGAGGTACTTTGACACTGTTGGGGAAGATCTGGATGGTCAGAGGGTTGTTGGCAACTTTCTTAGCATAGGCATCCAACTCTGCTGGGGTTGGATAGCTGGCAGATCTCATCTTCTGTGTAGTTTCCCCTGCAATGTGTATAAGGATCAGACGAACAGGATAACACAACACTATATACTGAAATGTACTGTAATACTACACTCTATAACAGTAAGCAGTGTGTTCTGTAGCTTTATCCGATACATCTCTATTAAGTCTGTAATCATTGAAGCTCGCATGGCATTTTATAGACGACATGGACCTCCATTAGTGTTTTGATCAAATGCATGGCGCCTTTAATATTGGGCTGGAGGGAAAACCTGGCACAAGAGTCACTTCTTTTACCAACAAAATAAATAAATTCAACTGAAGGGATCAACTGTAGAGACGCTGTTTAGCTATAATTTATCATTACATTGCTCTTCAATATTAATGATATCGTAAAACCTTTGTATAAAACTGAGGATTTTACTAATTCCAAATGAAAAAGAACCCCAACATGGTGGAAGAAAGCACTTACATTTCTGAAGTCCAGTGTTCATCTGCGTGCGGGAGAGAAGTCTGATGGTAGGGTCACCTGATGCTGGCAGACAGGCCAGCATGTCACTATTCCACTAATGCAGCATGGGACACCTTCTCCTCACCATACTGGGGAGAAACGGAGCAGGCACAAGTCAGCCAGTGACAGACACTTACGTTGGTGTGAAATGACTTTGCTATCACCTATTTTCACATCCAGCACGGTTTGACCTTTTGCAAATGGCAGCTTGTAATAAACTGACATCATGTTTCTGTAAAAGCTGGCAGCTGAGATAGAAGATGGAAAAGATGTTTTTTTTCCTTTGAACAAAACGGCACATAGACTCAACACGATGGCAGGCTTCTTCAAACTCACACACAGTAACAGAAAGACAATTCCCTTTGCTTAACATGTTTTAGTATCATGTTGTGAAAATCCCCAAATCGAAACATCGGTCCAATCTAAATGAATTCTATTGTCTAAAAGCCACTTATCTTGTCGAATATGTGGTTACGCTAATAAGTGCTGTACATCTTCAGCACTTTAGATCGTAAACAATCTTAGTCCAAAACCTTTTTAGATATGGTTTAAAGAGATTGCCCTACAATAACTTTAGCTACACTGTATTTCAACCGTAGTAGTGAACTAGTGATGAATCATACGCTGTCTGGAAATCAATGATGAATCTGCAAAATGATGCGTGAGTAAACCATAAGAAAATGTAATTACTGGTCCGACTTGTTGTAGGTTAACGAGGGCAGAGCCACGACGTACACTCTTCAATCTTTTTATTCTTAATGACAAAAGAACAAGGTTCACATTCACACTCTCGTTTCCAAATTTGGAAATAAATATAATAATAAACCTTCCTCCTCTGCTTCCGCTGGAACAGATGCAGGACAAGAGCCACAGTCGGGCTAACAATTACTTTCACAATAAACTGATTAATCGTATAATCAATAAAATGTAAGGACATTGTGAATATACACCCCACCAGTAGTCCAAACCTTAAAGAGAACCAATTTTCTATCTCATAAAACAGAAAATCAGAATTTAGAAGCTAAAAATATAGAATGTTTGACTTAAAATCAATTAATCAGCTATCAAAGTTAATTTTCTAATAAATCAACTGATCAATTATTTTAGTTCTTGTGATGTTTGTGAAGCAAGCATCCATGACTCCATTAGCCAATACCCAGAGCCTCACTGTGAGATTAATGGAAAATGAAAATGCTCGTCGTGTTGCAGCCCAACAGAACATTTTATTCACAATCTCCTCCGCTGGAAAAACATTGGGAGGGGACCTCGGAAGCAATTACATTTCCTCATGATTCAGTCACATCATTTCTGCAGATTCATCACAAGATTTGCAGACAGTTTTATGAATCACCACCTCTACATACACCCCTCTGGATCCCACAGGATGACGCAGGGGTTGAGTGCTGTTAGAAAACACTAAAGGAGAGAGAGAGAGAAGAGGATGTTCATTAATGCAGACTGGATAATGTGACCTTCTCCCCACAGACACAGGTCACACTGCGCCCTCAGCTAAACGCCTTCAACTAAACCCTTCATCAGATGGTCCAACCTGTCGAGCTGCACACACATAATATATATATATAATACAGTCTTATACTGGTCAACTTTCAGACAGACAGACAGGCTGTGTAACATTAGCCACCAGCCTTAATCTGCTCTATCTTTGCACCAAACCAGCGCTAGTATCTAATAAAAGCAGCTGGATTATTAAAAGCAAACATGCACATCGTGTGGCCACCATACAAACGCCTTAAAGCAACCTATTCAAGGTGAAAAGAATCGCCCAATAGGTAAACCTCGAGTTAAGCAACACAATAAATAAAGGAGCCTCTTTGTGCTGACTGTGAGCAGGCCAGCTGCTGCTCCAACTTTAACCGCTTTCATTGATAAATCCGCCGCTGGCCGCAGCAAAGACGACGATACTCACTCCTCACGAATCTACGAGTAGGGAGACTTCATGCTGTGCAGATATACGGTTGATATTGTGGATAAAGACGAAGAAACCATCCCCAGTGTGTTGACTCTTCGTGCTGCTGTCCGGCTACGGCAGCAACATCTGTGGCGCATGCGCAGAGAAAGGACCCCGTGCCCTAAATCCTGCATTTAGGTATCGCTGACAAAAGCCTGTGCAATAGTTTAAGGGCGTATGCATTGGTTGAAGGAGTCAGATCAGAAGCATGTGTGAAGAGCCTGCGTTCAAATGCAATCTGTATTCTGTGTTTTGTTATAGTGCATTCACTGGAGTCTGAGGATCTTACACTAGATAATAAGTTTTGGCTCTTGTCATTTATTTACATTGAAAGATATTAATCCTGAAAATGGTCTTTGTGCCTTCTGTGAGAATGACAACATTTGGCCCAAGTAATAGATAGAAAACTGACATCGATACAACAAAACAGAACATGAAATGAAGAATGCAAAGACATTATGACTGTTTAACTATGTGTGTGTGTGTTGAACCAAGTTTAGGAAGCTGTGTCAGGAGTCAATGAAAAAACTATAAAAGGTTTGCAATGTCTTTCTTTAAACAGACTGCAGCAAAGTAAATGGCGAAAAATAAATGATGGCATTTTGATTTATTAGAATGACAATTAGCTGAGAGTGAACTGATTATTCTGAGTACAGACAGATGACATGCAGCAAGAGCATACAGAAACTCATGGCCGTTTGAGACACACAGTGTACGTGTTGTAAGTAACATTAACAATAATACACTAGTATGTCATATATACACTGGAGACAAAGCAAAATAAATGAATATGGTCACAGTATTTGTCAAGTCACTATATCAGCATTGGTACAGACATAAATCATCTAAATGAGACAAAAAACTATGTTAACAACAACAATAACAGTCCTTTGTAAATTCTGTATTGTCAGTATGCTCACACTGGCCGTTTCTTCAGCCGTTCATAAAACTATAACTGTATTTGCTGTTTCACCTGCTTGAGATATGAGGTTCAAACTAAAAATCACTGTCACACTAGTTTAGGTTCAGTGTAGGTGAGTGCAGCTCTTTACAGCAGTGAGAGGAGACAAGCAGGTTATGGCTACCAGAATTCACTGCCAGTTCTTCTGGAAGTGAATGAAATAGATTTCATAGGAGGGGTCAACCTGTTACGCCCAATAATATGCTGTACCTTCCAAAAACCTGTGTCAGAGCTTTTGTGCTGCTGCACTGGAGCTTAACATTTAGACCCCAAAACAACAAAACATTGTGACCATTCACAAACAGCAATATCACAGATTAAAATTGATAAAACATGAATTAATAAGTTAAAGATCTCTGCTAACAATCTACCAAGCTATCATTGCAGACATTGAAAAGAACAGAAAGTGTGTTTCTCTGAAAAGTGTAAAAGTTTGGTTTGTTGACACGTCCTGTCAAACATGGCTTAGCATCTACAGATGTTTGTAGTATGATTTCAAACATCAGATAAACTTATCCCAAATTCTTCCTATACAATAAAACTTAAACTTAACTATTCTATTTGGCATCAATGTTTGACCTTTCATTTTCAGAATCTATTAACATGAAGCTTTTTCCACAATATAAACATATTTCACACAACTCCAAGTTGTTTTTTACAATTTGCCTACAAAATCTTTTTTCATCTTTTTTTTTTACATCAACCATTTCTTTCAATCTTAATCAAGGTCCAAACTAACATTTTAGATTAAAACTCAAAGTAAATATTAAAAGGACCACATTACGAGCTAACCATTATCAGCACAAGATCTGATTTTGCTTCCTGTCTTTCTGCCAAATGATCATATCATCATGTCTGATATTAACAGTTTGTGGAGAAGGAAAATTCTTTCAGAGGAACAGATGCTATTTGCACAACGAAGGAGCTTCTTTTAAGATTGTGAGCACCTGTTACATTGTAAAAATCAACCAGTGAGACATAATAATAATAATAACCTGAATAACATTTGATAGTTAAAAATTACAACATGTACAATTCAAAGAAAGCTCTACAATTAACAAGAAAATATTCAGATTATCTTGGGAATTCAGATGTGTCTAACCATAAATGATGAGGTACTGTTAATCAACAAAAAGCAACATACAGAAGGAAAAAAGTGAGAGCAGAGGCCCCATTGTATACACACCAAAGAAAAGCTGACTCAGACATCAGCTGTCTGAGTCAGTAGGTAGGTCAACTGTCACACCAGTCTGATATCAGCTCTCCTCTTTGATGGCAGTTCATACAAACGGGCCAATGTATAGCATTCAAATACAAAAAACAAAATAAAAACACAACACAAAATGTTCCCATGTTAAAACGAAATAAAAAAATCTTTGAATGAGCAGCAGTGCATGCAGTTCTGGTCCTGTATAAAGTAAGGCACCAGAGGTTTCCAAAATTCACTTGGTATACAGTATATACGTATAAAACAACAAAATTCTTCAAGTGTATTAAAGGCAGTCTATCAGAGTGCATACAACAGATACTGAAGTCACGCGGAGTTGTCGGTTTTCAGGCTTGAGAGCTGCTCATCTTCTGCAGCAACGGGATCTGTCAAGAAAAGACAGATTATTCCACCTGGCATTGAAACTCAGAGGCAAGGAAACAAACCATCCACCTATCTAATGCACTGAATGCATGAAACATATATTTGTGCTGCATGAGTTCAGAGGACTGAAGAAAGGCAGCTTTCCCTGTGAATTTATTAACTGTGCGTATCTGTGTGTATCCTGTAAAGAGCATGTTTGCACACTGGTGTTGGTCAGGATACTGCAGGATGTGCAACTAAATGTAACCGGTTTATTTTTCTTTCTTAATTTAATCTAAAAAATAAAGATGCTTTCATGACAGTTTTTATGTTACATCACATTTAAAGGTCAGTTTACTCGTCTCGGGGAGTGTTTAAAGATGTGGGTGTTTACAAGTCAGAGAGGGTCTACTTGGGACTAGAAGCAATGGGTGAAATATCTGTGTATATCAAAACAAAGACTCCTAATCCTAATCCCTTATGCATTTAATAATTTAGTAACTCTACACATACATTCAAATTGTTACAAAGATAAAATAAAGCATGCTGACCTTTGACAAATCCACTCCAGTGAGAGCATGGACAGACACAGGAAGTTCTGCCAAAAGGCGGTTGACTTCGCCCGTCACGCGGCTTCCCTCCCCGCTGAGGATGACGATCTCATTGGTCTTGGCTAACGGTGCTGCCACCTTGCTAGCAATCTGCAAAAACATGGTTAAGTGTTGACTGTGAGCAGGAAATAATCATGTGATACATTATGCAGTTGCAGTCTCATGACTTCTGAATTATTGAGATGAAGCAACTGTGGTCATTCTGACGTAAGACTGAGAGCCGTCATTGTCCTTTAACCGTGGTTTCATATCCCTCAATGCCTGAAAAAAGTAAGAACATTGTGTGTTCAGTTTTGAATTTTGGTTTGAGAGCTGAGAGAGTTGCTATTGCTACGATCAAAAGCAGAACCGGACAGTCTATATGGACCTGGTATAGTACATATCACAGAGATATTGGTGTTTCCAATATGCACTGATATAAAAACATTCCTTACAGAACGTAGAAATAGTCTCATCAGGTAGTTTGTCCAGCAGAGAACGCTCCGACTCTCAGTCAGCACTGTCAGCACAGCAGAGTGCGTCACAGTTCAGCGGACAGTAGTATGGAAGAAATCAAGCTTAACTTAAACATTTTTAAATAAAATATTTGTTTAAAGGAAGCAGCAATCTGAGAACCTTTGTCATATCGGTGTAAAAAATATCGGTATTTAGTGAATTGGAAAAATCGATATCGACTTGTTTTTTGAAAGCTTAACATACTACAGCTTTCTAGGTGCTTGTGTGGTGGGATGCTGAGGGAACTAAACAAATAAGACATAACAAGAACTGCTAGTAAAAGGACGTGAGAGTGATATTGACCTTCTCAACTAATGTGAATAATTGTATTTCCCAAAAACTATTCCATTAATATTAAAACACTAACACAGGGTTTCTACAACTATGGTAACTGTTGAAGAAACCTTTCAATTAATAAAAAACCAGCCAACTCTAAATGAAAGTCCTCTTGAGCAAAACGTGGTTAGAGAAGATGGATGCTCATTATACAACTTTAAAAGAACCCATCTATGTTCTACCTTAGGCAGGGCCTCGAGGACCAGGGCAGTCTTAGCTGCCTCTCCGTACTGCTGGTAGGCCTCAGCTTTCATTCTCATCTTCTCAGCCTCCGCCTTGCCCACTGCTACGATGGAGGAGGCCTCCGCCTCACCGATCTTTCTGATCTTCTCTGCCTCAGCCTGGGCCAGCAGCACCTTCTCCGTCCTGATGCGGGGGAAACACACCAGTTCAAATTACTGATATCCGATTCATTCATTAACACGTCACAGTCAAAAACTCTTTTTACACAATATGCTCCTTAGCTCTACATGACTTCTAATCATACATTTCCAAATCATGTTCCTGTTTGTCAGCGGCGTAATCTGCATTACTTAACAGAAACTTTTAAAAACATTTAAGTGACACTAAATAAGGAATTAGAGGCTGAATGAAAACCGTAAATGGAAATGTGGCATGGTGAGACAGATAATCATCCACCCTGCTAGTATTTCTTCTCCACCTCTTTTTTACTGCTTATAAATGGAGGCTGTTGCTACCAAGCAAATTAAACTCACAAAGGATGCTCGCTTTTCCAGATTTCCAGGTAATTTCTTTTAAGTCAACTACAGACTGCCGTGCCTAAAGAGGACGAGAGGAGTGACTGTGTTCTTTCAGTGGTCTTGCAGTTTCTACTGATTGGTGATACTGGTAAAAAAAATGAATCCTTCTTTAACCAATGGGCTCTGACTCACTTATGCCCCTCAGCGAGCTGCTGCATTTTGTAGGCCTCGGCCTCAGCGGGCCTCTTGACAGTGGCAATGAGCTCCCTGTCTGTCCGGGCAATCTCTTTCTCCTCAATGGTGATCTGTTTCTTCCTCTGCACCACTTGAATCTCAATCTCCTCCAGACAGATCTTTTGCTGCTCCTTGGCTGCCTGCAGCTCGTACGCCAGCTGGGCCTCTGCTTTCTGAAAACATCAGCACACAGAGTGTCTCTTTCTGAAGCGCACACACTTCAGGTAACACACATGTTGTTTGAAACCTTTTGAAGATAGTTTTAAACCTCAGGGTGCCCACCTTGGTGTTGACCTCCTGGTTGAAAGAAGCTTTCTGCAGCTCCAGTTCTCGTTTGGAGTCAGCCATCTTGGTGTCAGCCAGGAATTTGACGTCCATCATCTCTTTCTTACATTCTGCTTCCTAGGAGACGATAAAAAAGTAAAAACCGTGTTCAGTTGGTTGTTGTGTATAACAGAAACTACTTCTGATAGTCTTCCACCTGCTAAAGCCTCCTTACCCGTATCCCAGCATCCCTCTCTGCCTCAGCCACGCCGATGTCTGCATCCCTCTGGACAGCCGCAGTCTGGGTCTTCCCAAGGGAGCTCAAGTAATCAACTTTATCGTACACATCCTGCGAGCACAGACAAACAGGTCAACCTATAGAGCTCCGCTTCCTGTAAACACTGAATCACAGGAACCTGCACTGCAACCAGACGGGTGTTAACTAAACGCTCATGTAGCAGAAAATATTTTAGTATGTCAGAGGAGTGAACATTTTATTTGTAGTGAATATTTTTAAATATAAAAGTCTCACTACTGATAAGGGCAAATTTATATGAAGTGTAGTTTCAACCACAAATGGACACCTTCTATCTGTGCTAATAACAGCGTATTGATTTCTGCAGCTGCACTGAAGAGTTGCTGGCACAAGCCTCAGATGACAGCACCATCTGATTAGACCTCAGCTACATTCGACAATAACGCGAGGAGCATCAGGATGTGAAAAGATTTTACAAGTAATATCCACACTGAGACAAACGACCGCAAGTATTTTGATGTTTTGAGTCGGTAAAGTCGTAAAGTGGAGCAAGACTAATTGATGTGATAGAAATGGACTCAGAGAAGAAGCACTGAGATCAGCTGCCGTGTCTACACCACACTTCAATTAGTTCTAATGAACAACAGCAAACTCTTCAGGGGGAGTCTCTCCTGACAGTCTATTATCTTATTCTCACACACGAACAAGCACACGTACTGGTTTGTTCTTGGATCAAGACAACAGGTCTATCTGAATATTATATTATATTATTTAGTATATAAAGTATGCATTACATTAATGCACCCACGTTCTTTCTCTTCTTATCTTTATCTATTTATTTTTTGAAAGTACTTTATTTTTCTGTGTGATTTTTGTGTGATTTGAATAATTGTATATTTGTATATTTGTATTTGTATATGTGTATATTTTAACAGGCCGCCCACTGACGGTCACCACAGCAACGGCGCCCAGGCCCCGCCAAACTGAAGGTCAAAACCACAAGCAACCGGGCGCAAGGCCCGCCCACTGAGTCACCACAGCAACGCGCAAGGCACCGCCCACCTGAGGTTCACCCACCCAGCAGATAGATAGATTAGTAGATCAGATAGATAGATAGAATAGTAGATAGATAGAATAAGATAGATAGATAGATGATAGATGATAGATTAGACAGAATAATTAAGTAGAATCTGATAATTAGGATAGTAGACTAGATGATTGTAGATAGCGATAGATAGATAAACGACTAGATAGACAAATAATAGATAGATAAGATAGAAGATAATAGACAGATAATAGATAGATACGATAGAATAATAAATAATAGAAGATAGATAGATAGATAAGATAGAATACGAATAGAACGATCAAATAGATAGATAGAAATAAAGATAGATAGATAGAATAAATAAGAAGATAGATAGATAGATAGAAGAAACAGAAATAAGATAGATAGATAGATAGATCAGACAGATTAATAGATAAATAGACTCCAGATAAGATACGATAATAAGATAGATAGATAGATTAGATAGATAATAAGAAGACAAGATAAATAGATAGATAATAGATAGAAGATACGATAAGATAGATAAGATTAGATAGATAGATAGAATAGACCACGATAATAAGATAGAATAGAATAGATTAGAAAATAAAGACAGATAATAGACTAAGATAGAATAGAATCAGAAATAAGATAGATAAGAAGATACGATACGATAGCATTCACCGCACTCAACACGATAGCAGATACATACACGACTAACATAGACCATAAGATAGAAAAAATAGATAGAAGATAATAGATAGAAGATAGATAGACAATAATGATAGATAGATAGATAGATAGATAGATAGATAGATAGATAGATAAGATAGATAGATAGATTAGACAGATTTAATAGATAAGATAGATTACCGATAGATTAGATAGATAAGATACGATAGATAGATAGATAGATAGATAGATAGATAGACAGATAATAATAGATAGATAGACAGATGACAGATAATAGATGATAGAATAGATAGATAGATAGATAGATGAAAGATAGATGACAGATAATAGATAGATAGATAGATGATAGATAGATAAGATAGATAGATAGATAGATAGATAGATAGATAGATAGATAGATAGATAGATAGATAGATCTGTTACATATATATATCTCTGTTAAAGTCACATCTGATTGTAACCACCCCTTTTTTGCAATAAAGATGACTTTGAAATAAAAAAATAAAAAAAAGCCATGCTATCAGTCAGTGGTTCTTAAAGGACTCACTGACGATATTTTATAGATATTTCACGATTATAAATTAAAAACGTAACAATTAACTCAATTCTCTACCTGTTTTATGTATTTGACAGACATAAATATTCTTCTTTTCTCACACAAACTCAGTGTTCCTTGTCCCCTGCACGCTTGGCACATTGT